CTATGGTCCTAAGAAGCCCTCACAGTTTTTGGTCAAAGCTAGAATGCTCCTTGCTACATTTATGTGAGATATTTCAAAAAGGGATAGGAAATCCCTCCTGCCAGTGTGAAAGTACATCTGGGAGGTACAGAAAAAGAGAAAAAAAATCCAGGAGCTGTAGTTGCTCACACTTGGGGTGACAGAACAGGTTGAGCTGAGTGGAGGGAAACCATGGTGTCTCTGTGGGCATAGGAAAGGCTCTTCAAAGTATCCTGGAGTTGTTGTCCCATGAGAAGAGACTGAAGCTGTCACATCAGCAGGTATGGGGAACAGGCACATGACAAGGAGACACATGTTGGGGACAAAGTGGAGCAGAACTGGCCTGACAGTATCTGCTGCTTGATGGTGTGCAAAGAGCCAGCCGGTCCAGGTGCTCACTGTTCTCAAAAAGAGGTGACTGGAGAAATGAATTTCCAAGTGCACCAGTAAAGCAATTCCTCCGACTTTAATTTATCTACATTTATTTGACACCTTGGGGTAATCATTTGGCCTCTGCTGCTCCATCCACATCCTCGTTTTTCTAATTTCTGTCATGTCTTCCTAATTAATATTGCCCAAACCTATCCTTTCTCTCTCTTTTCTGTTAAAACATTTTCCTAGAACATGTCTGTCTCTGTATTTCACTAGTTTAATGTCTTCAAATGACTTGTTAAAATGTGTCTTATGTGACAACAGTGAATGCTCCTGAAATTAGGACTGTATTATAACATCACCTTACAACCTAGGTAGAGTTAGCCACGTGTGGGAAGCATGAAGAATGGCTCTTCTCACATTGACTATTTGCCTTATCAGCCTTAATAGTGTAATTTTACTGGAGTTTTCTTTTTGTCTTGTACACAAACTGGCCACATTTAAATTATCTGCATAACTGAGAGGGGAATTATCACCAGAACCTTTGAGACCAGCACACAGATGTATTTCATATCCTCTGACATTTAGCATACCTACACTTACACTTCCTTAGTGGGAAGGTGAGAGACCAAGTACAGTCTCTGTTTTGTGCAGAGACAAGCTCCAGGGTCCTGCAGAAGTTGACATTCAGGCTGGGGCACAGTCTTTCTCTGTGCAAAACTTCCTACATCAGCCTGCTGTGAGAATGGGAGTCACTGTCTTCAAGGAGCATCCAATTCAGTGTAGCTGAATGAGTGAGACAATCATTCCTGCTGTGACCCTGTAATTTCACTGGGAATGGACAGCATGACCCAGCAAGAGAAACATGCTGGCTGTAAAAGAAGCACATGGGAAGAGGCTACAGGTATCACCTGGGGGTTGAGTGAAGGACTGGTGAGAGAGGAGGGAGAGGGGCAGAACGGTGAAGAGCTGTGAAGGTGGAATCTGTAAGTCTGAAGATGAGAGGGTGGAAAGGCAGCGCCTGAAGAGATGCTGGTATGGTTGGTGTAATGGAGGCTTAGGCCATGGAGACAGACAGGGTATTGGTGGGTGGGAGGGAGAAGTGGGGTCTGCAGTTGGCCATGGTAGAGCTGCATCAGGATAGCAGGGGGGAAATAAAAGCCAGAGGTTTGAAAAATTGTAAGAGGAAATGAAGGATTTGCATCTAGCCTGGATGTGTGCAGCGGAAGAAAAGTCAAAGGCAGAGAAGCCTCCCGTTTTAAATGAATTTTTGCAGTGGGAAGTCGGGGTTGTTTCTCAGGCAGTCTTACACGCTACAGCAAGCAGTCCTGCTATGGAAAACAATAGACATATTTTGAGCACTTTCACATTTTATACATAAGACTGGTGTTGGCTGTAACCTGCATTCCTTGCTGTTCCTTGCCAGCCAGGAGGTTGTGGCCTCTGAATGGCGAAAGTCAAAGCCTTCATGACAGCAGCATGGTTTCTTCAGTGCAGGTGCAAATGGTTCTCTGCAGGGTCGTGGACTCCAGAAACCAGGAGCAAGGCTTGTGGCTGATCTCTCTTTCTTCCTAACACTCCCTTGGCTGCCCCTACACTGTCCTGCCAGTAATAGCCAAAGGAGATGACTTTGTGCTGGAAATGCAGGGGAGAAGTGAGAGCCAAACACGAAGGAATAAAAATCCTATTTTGAGATACTGACTGACTCACTTTGGGCCAGCTGCTTACAGGTAGTTCAACAATGAGACAAGAGCAGCAAATGAAGTATTTTCTGTTCCCGTGGAAAAAAACATGGTGACATTTTTCTCCATAGAATTTTTTAAGTTTGTCTAAAGCAGGACTTCTTGACAATTTCTCGACAACCTGGGGCTAGACTCTGTTACAGCAATTTACTTGGGACCTGCATAGCAGATACATTTTAAAAGGTCATATAATGGTGGAATATCTTTCTGGGGCCAGACAGAATTGTCCCCCCAGGCTACAAGTTGGAGAGATCTAGCTGGGTTAAAAAAATACAAATGCTATGTTTTTACATGTTGAGTTTTGGGAAATGTTTAAGGAAAGAGTGTTCTTACTTTCAAAGCTAACAACAGCCCTTCTTTTCCTTTAGGAAAAAGTAGTTGTGGGTTTTTTTTAAATTAACTTTCTGAATAAAAATTATAATCAGCACCCGCTCCAGTGGACTTACCAAAACAAATGAAAGGTCTGATTATCTGTAATACCCTCCACATTTTCACAGTGCTCTGAAGTTGAAGGTCAGCAGGATGGGAGGTTCTGAAGAGCAGTGTGACATACTTGTAATAATTAGCTATCTGCACTTCTGCTATTTCTATCCTTCTGGAGGTGGTGCACATTGCAGCATAGGCAGCATGTTTCTCTGAGACCAGGAGGTACTCAGATCTATGGGAAAGTAAGTAAAAGTCAGAAAAAACTGGGGCTTAACGACTGGGACCCAAAACTGGTCTTGGATATTTGTGTCTCAGAAGCTAATAGAAGGTGATTAAGATCCACTAGCAATCTGTAATTCCTGCTTTTGCTTCCCTGTATGCTTGAGTTTACACATCCAAATGGCACCTTCATGCTTTCAGGCTGGAATATCTCGCTATTAGTTTTGGAGGTTACTTCATCAAACAAGTTGATGTGTAGGTTCTCCCAGTAAGACTCTATGTTAAGGAAAACTTCTGCTAAGATTCCTCAGTTCCTGCTCAGCAATAAGCCATGACCTCACAGTACCGTGGAAGCAGCAATAAAGCCAGCCCCACAACCTTGCTCCACAAGCTAGTATGTATTGTCATCCTCATGAAGTTTGTAGCCAGAGAGCCCCGGAACTAAGAGGAGATAAGGTGTATCTGTCCGAAAATATGGTCTTACTGGGCTTGACTCTTATCTCATTCCTTCTCCACTTATTCTGGTCTTTCCATTTGTCAATATATGGAGAACCAGGCTCTGTAGTCCCCTAAATATTTACTATAGCAATGTCAATTTCATTGTCAAATGCCCATTTCTAACCTGTGGGTATCCTTGGAGCATTAGTTTTCAATGTCACCTAGAGCTGTGCTGGTCTGCTCGTCTCATTATGAGCTTTGATATGGTTAAAGCTCTAAAAAGCAGGTGGGCTCTGGAGAGAATGGGACTAATTCGAAATTTCTAATTTGAATTTCCCAACTGCCTCTTCACACCAAATTCTTTTGTCCTTCATTCCTCTAGTGCTTGAGAATGCAGAAACCCAATCACTACTGGTGACGGGGAATGCTGCGTCCCCTTACTTCAGGGGACAGGGGACAATAACCCATTCAGACCCTCTGTGAATTGGCAGGAGGAACGGTGCATAGAGAGGGGTTATGAAACTCTTGGAAGCACTGTCTGACATGCACCAAAGTTAGCAAGGGATGAGGTAAGAGTTTTGGGAGGTGGGCTGTCCAGGAGAGGGAAGGGGAAGGCAGCATGGAAGGGAAGCATAGTGTGGAGACTGAAAGTGGTTTTAAAATCAAATGAAACTCCAGTAAGTCTTAGCTCTGGAAGTTTGCCTGAGAGACAGAGTCCAGATCAGCTGCAAGTAACAGGAAAAAAAAAGCAATAGTTTGTCCCATTGCACTTCTCAGGGAAGGTCTGCAAAGAGTGCAGGATGGCAGAGAACCAGAAATTGCAGATCCCAGCGGTGGGCACATGGATAGGGGAGATTCCCTGTCCACCAGATGGGATGGGATCAAATGTTGCAGGGTCCCCATTCTGCTGAACTGCCAGAAGGGATCCTTAACAGCAACATCTTTGCAAATAATGGGATCCCACTAAGACCTCATGCACACATCACCATGTCTTGGTTTGCCGAGTTCTCCATTTCTGGGTGCAGCTCAGGGTGTCCCCACCTGGTGGCTCACAAGCCACTCTTTCCATGCTCCAGCTGGTGGGTTGAGCCAGCAGCAAGGCCAGAGCTGTGTGAGCATGGTGCAGCTTTCAAACCCAGCCTCTTAGCACGTCCTGTCAGCTGAGGCACAGGTTTAGCTCAGTCTGTCTATCTACTATGGTGGTGGCTCAGGTCCATGGACTTAGAGCATGGCTGTCTCCGGACCACCGAGCAGCCACCCCCTCATAAGACCAGGCTTTCAGCTGATGTTCAGCCCTTGTCCCCTTGCGGTCTAACACATCACAACTGCTGGAAAGCTGTGCCCACAGCTCTGTCTTCCCCTTCAGCCCCATGACTTTTCTTTCCCTTTCCTTAGGTTCAGAAGTTCCCCTTCTGCCACATGCTCCCTCTGCTGACCCCACCAGCGTTTCACCCAACCCACCAGCCCTTTACATTTTGCTCCAGGTGCTTTAGTTTTTTTCTGTACCCTCCCCACCTCCCCTTCCAAGGAGGGACATTTCCCACCCCACCGCCAGCAGCTGCAGGACCCTGCTGCTGATCTGATGCCAAACCTTCACCTCTAAGCAGCGCACACAACTCTGAGCATGAGACAATTAGGAGAGAAAGAGGGAAGGGGGAAAGTATTGACAGGAGTAAATTGAGAGAAATCATAAAGCTTAAGCAGAAAGAAAGCAGTTTGAAAGGTAAAGTATTTAGAGAAAGCCCTTTCCTGGATGAATCTAATTGTTTTGTTATCTTTACCCACCAAAGCATTTACTTTGGTTTGTCGCCCGATCCACAAACACTTTCGAGGAGATGACATTACCGAAAGGCAGGAACATCTGCATCAGCTCAGCATCCCCAAACTCCTGGGGCAGATGGTAGATAAACAGGTTACAGCCCTCTGGTCCTATCAAGAGAAAAAGACGACCCATGAATGGAGAGAAATAGGATATAAGAAAGCACAAGGTAGAAATTTACTTTGGCACCCCCTCTCTCTGACTGGTGAGGGGTCACCTCTAGGAAGCAGTCTGTAGTCTCAGAGGAACGGACAAGAACTCAGAAAGTCACCTAGGGGCTATGCTAATTTCATTAACTTTCCCAGGACAGACACCAGGATAAAATCTAGAAACGGGAATGCAGCAACACATGTGGCCATGGAGAGACAGAATGGAGAAGTAAGAACAAAAAGAATGAAAGAATGTTGTTCATAGTTTTTCTTTGCTCCTCATAATCTCATTTAACCTGTAGAGTTTTGAGTGACCCATGCTAAACCTTGCCCATCTCAGTGTTTGCATGCAGAACTTTCATTATACTTCTTGTGTCTGTGTGAGGACTGTGAGAACAAGTAAAAAGACATGCACAAACCCACACGCTCATTTTGTTTTGTAGAAATTAACATTCAGCCCCCCAGTTCAACTCAGCTTGAAGACCCCCCTAAATCTGGACAGTCTGTCCATGTAACCCATTCTAGAGAGTTCTGCAAGAGAGACTGCGGGTGTATTTAAGTCCAAATTATTAGACAGGAGGAATTGCCTTTTTTGCCTCAGTGCAGTACCACATTCTCTTACAGACTTCAGACTGCACTTGGAAAAACATCCAGAGAAGAGTCTTTAGTTGGAATATGCAGTTCTGTTAAAGTAGGCACCCTCAGAAAATGTGCTGTTGAAATTGTATGTCAGGGCAGAAGAGGGAGAATCTGCCTGTGATCAAATAGCCTAGAATGAAACTTTTCAATGTGACTTTTATTTTTAAGCATACTGTACTTGAGCAAAAAGTCAAAAGGGAACAGGTGTGTCCAAGTGGTTTTGTTGAAAAAAAACCCACAAACCAACAAACATTTCAACCTCTTGCAGTGTTCACTAGCAGAAAACTGGAAAACTGTACAGTTTGAGCAGGCAGGGATCATTTTTTTCATAGTCCTATTTCCAAAGGTACTTCCAGCTGCTGCCCAGCTCTGCACTGACCTTGCCAGGCAACTCCAGCTCTGCTTTGCTCATGGGGGTTGAGATGAAGGGGGACAGTGTGTGTTCATTGCCGTGAGAGTAAGAGGACCGAGGGAAGCAGGGTTCCATCCTTCCTCCCAGCCCATGTACCGACAACCCTGTGATCTGGTTCAGCAACTTTCCCCCATGTACCTCTGGGGCACAGTGTGGGGAAGGAGAGGGTTTTTTGAATAAGCTCGTTTTCTTCATCAGGGCATAATTGCGGTGTCATAACACAGCAAATTACAACTTTGACTTTCCTGTTAGGAAGAGGAGTTTGCATAGATGCTCCCACCTTTTATTAGCCATTACTCATCCCCCCGGCTGGCAGGAGAAGTACGGCGAAGTCAGGATTCTGACAGATGCCCATTTAAAGCTCATTAAAATTCCTGGGCCTCAGCGTGATTGAAGTCACAGGCTCTCCACATTTCCTTTTGGATTAATGGAAAATGAAGCCCTAATGAATATTTGCTAAGCACAATTTTCCCCACTAATTTGCTAAAAGGACTGTCATGAAGGAACAGCTGATCCTTTGCAACTTGTGTGTTTCCTAGAGGTCATGAGGATGGTAACAGGGTTTCTTCCAAATGGGGGGGATAGTGGTATGGTGGGATAATTAACTAATTAGGCACCCGGTCATCTGCTTAGCTAAATTACTTTTGAACCTCAGTGGCCCACAATCAGGCTCCCCTATTTCATGCCAAGCTTTTCCATCTTTCCCCCACCTCCCGTCTGCCTCTTCCTTAGTCTCCTCACTGAACAACTATCCTTTCTCCAGTCCTTTCTGCAGTTCATTTCCACACAATGTGGAGTTATTGGCACAATAAACTAGATATGAAACAGTCTGAAAGTGTTAAACAAATACCGACCCCCTTAGGTGTCTGTTAGAATTGAGAAAATTCTGCCCAGGAGAAGACCACGGTCCAGAATAGCAGGGAAAAATTCATTCCTTCATCTGAACGTGCCCCAGAGCACTTCTGCTATGGGATTTGAGATTGACTCTATAATAGAATGGGTAAAATCTTGGCTTTGCTGCAATTAGTGGCAAAATTCCCACTGACATCACCAGAGCCAGCAGTTTGCTCTGTAAAACTGGCAAATTCTTTCAAAAATGCCAGCTGCATTTCCTGGGGTCTTGGATGTGTTGTGCATGAGTAGGGATTCTGCCTGTGTGTACTGAGAAGCACCTACTTAGGCCTAAGGCAGACTGGGAATCATGCAACTTCATCTACAGCAGGTTTAGAGGTCGGGCTCAAGGAGAAATCAACCCTTAGTTCACCTTGAAATCAGCTTTACCTGACACTGCTCGGAGACCAAGAGGAAGAGACCAGGGAGAAGGTGAAAAAGCAGAGACCATCCTCAAAACCCAGTTCAGCTGTGAAATGGGACTGGGAAACCCACACTTCAGCTTTCCATAGCAAGTCAGGCATTTAAGGCTAAACTCACTCTGTTCCCAGCTATAGAGGGACTTTGCTAATTTCCAGTGCTGAAAGCTCCACCTGCTACTGAGAAACAACCTGGGGTAGATTTGTTATACCATTGTCACATACGAAAATTCTGCCATTAGAATTTAACAAGAAATTTCTTGATATATCCATCCACCCATCCATCTTTAAGCTACATGTCACAGTTAGAATCCTTGGTAAAGAATTCAAAAAACAAGCTCTCTCTGTCTCAGCCCCTCTACCTCGTATTTTTTTCTGCCTGAGTCAAGTTAATGTGGGCACTCCATAGAAGACCATGTGTTTATGTGTATGGCCACCTCTTTGTATAGAGGTGTATATTTTTAAGAAACCAAAGGCATGAGTTGTTCAGCTCAGACTGCTGTGAAGAGCTAAGTTAGTTCTCAGTGCACACACGCACTGAGTTTTCAAGGACTTGATGAGGGTCTCTGGTGCAAGAGGAAAAAGGTGGTACGGCAAAACCTTAGTGAAGACTCCAACTGTCTTGCTAGAGAGAAAGGTCTTGTTTTGGACCAAGTTAATGGATTGTTGGCGATCAGTATACTTGGCAGTTCAGGGCTGAATACAGTACTAAAATTATTTACCGCACACTTTACTTTGGCTTTGAAAAGGGCTGTAAGTCAGCTCGAAATCTAATCTTCATGACATATTATGAGAAGAGAATCAAGGTTCATTTCTACCCTGACATCTACTGTGGCTCTTGGTTTTATGGCCTTAAGTTATAGATATTTCTGTTCATTAATACACCAGAAGCACAGGTAGCCTTGATTTGGTCAAAAAGGAAAGAAGAGTTTTGAGGAACGCAGAGTTTATTAATGGTCGGTAAATTACAGGCAAACCATGCTGGATAATGGAAAAACTCATGACTGAGGGCACAGAAGCACATGGTAGAGAGCTCTGCGGTGAGTCCATGCTGATTTGGCTTGATTGGAACCTGAGCTGCTAAATCACCATTCTGTGCATGCTCCTCACCCTCCAGCTCATTGTTAGTTTTTTGACAGGGGGACAGTTGCAGACCCAACCTGTCCCTGGGTGTCCACTGGCAACATGAGTAAATATACACCCATGCTGACATCAGCTGTTTATCATTGCATCCCCAACACAGGAATGGGTGTCATAAGGAAAAGCTATGACTAGACTGCTCTTCCAACAGTAATTTAAAATGGTCTGTCCTGGAAGACACCTGTACAAAGTTATCCCGCAGCCCTTTGGTCAGCTACACACCTCGCCCCTACAGCAAATTCTCAGAAGTTGGAATTTCATTGCTCTTTCTGCATCTGCTTGCTATTCAGTTCCCAGTATGTTTAAGCGCAGGGCAGAGGAGAGTCACAAGGCTGCACCACTTTATTTTAATATCTAAGTGTACTTCTGCATTTCAGAAGGTGCGTCAAGATGAGTAATACCATGCAAAATTTAAATTACCCCCAAGTTTTGCCTGGTTGACATGGCCTGAATCAAGACTTCATCTCTAGCTTTGATCATTTTGGATCTGTTCCACCCTATGCACCCTGTCAGCTGCCGGCAGACTCAGAGCTGATGTGGAAGTAATGACTAATCTCTACAGGAACATTGCAGCAGCCAAGCGGCTCTAGGCTTGTTATCCAACCGTGATCCGGCAGCGGAGAGTTAGCATTGTTATTAACAATGTGATCATTGATGTTATTGTTGTGGTAGGGCTGGTTCATTAACAAATCAATGTTTGTGCACATCCTTGCAAACACGAAGTACTCTTCTCAGCACTGAGCATTATTATTATTATTAGAGTTCCCTCTTGCTGTGCTTTCCTGTTAAAGGTTAGAGATGCTTAAAGGTCTTGACCCTCAGAGTTGTCATATCTTAGAGATTCTTCCTCTAGCAAGCAGCAGAAAAAGCCATAGCGTCTATAAACACTGCACGAAAATGGAGGACACTGGGAATGGTAACCTGGATTGGACTGGTAGGTCATCTCACTTATCTTGCCCCCAACCACCCTCATACCAGCTTTTTGCAGGAAGGAGCAAAGAGTTATGTGATAATTTGTCCACTGGGTGACACTCACCTGCAACCCTCAGAGACACACCATGCCTTGTGAACATGGGTGTCTTTGGGCAGTGGGTCTTCAAAGTGTGCACAATAGCTATATCCCTTGCTTCTGTTGGTTCCTGGCACAATGCTACGCCGAGCAATGATCTGCTCGCCATTTTGTCCTGTGCTTAATCTAGCCCCAGTAAGTAATAAAAAGCAAAGTCCTTCAGCATGGGGGAAACATCTCTGTAATGATACGTTAGGTCTGTGCATCTGTTCTCACAGCAGGGACGTGTGCTAGAGCTAATCAGGAGCTGGAAGTTGTGTTCCCCAGGAAATTCTGACATCGGAAAAAAATTAATTCCAAATTAGATCGAAATGCCAACATTTCTAATTTTCTTACAAAATGAGATTTCTCCCCCAAAGTAGTTCTAGGCCATCAGAATGTTTTAGTTTGATAGTGTAATCTTGATTCATTTCGTTCTGACTGTTACACTATATTAAAATATTCAATGTCATTATATATATATAATAACACGAATAACATAGGATATATCTGAATTAGTGATCTAATAGAGGATAAAAGTTGAAATGTAATTATTTAAAATAATACTAGAATAACACTAAGCTGAAGCACCTGACTAAAATGGCTCACTCAGGCAAGCAGTCCCCTCTTCTCATCAAAGGGAACCGTGGACTCCCTGGAGGACAACCTCTGAGGATCCCACTGCTCCCCACCTGCTGTAAAGGGAACATTACATGGCATGGTTGCCCTCTAAAACATTTACAGGCAGTAGTGGGAGATTCACCTCTCCTTATTTTCCGTGTCTCCAGTGAAGCCATCCAGCCCCGTGGATTAGATAATCCAGGTTCCTTTTATAGTCAGTGTAAAGAAATAGGTACTTTTACTATATGGTTTAGCTCATTCTGATATAGAGATCGTGTTCTAGAAGGGCCAATTTCTGTTTCCAGACTATCAAAGGAGGCTGAAAGGACTAGATCAGCTCCTATAAATAGCAGGTCCTTGTTCCCTAAATAGCAGGTGTCTGAAATTATGTTACTGGCTTCTAATCAAGGGCCACCAGTGCTTTGTTTCCTATTAAATTCTTTGTTCCAATGCAACTGCTTTTTTATCCGCATTCTTGTTGCTTGTCTCGAGCACAGGCCTCCACTGGACATTATTGCCTATTGCTTCCAGGTCTTTCCCTGGCTGGTGCACATCAGTGTGGTCCCCTCCCTGGGGACTGAGATCTCAGCAGCGACTCCCCATGGGGGTGTCCCTGCACGCTATGGTTAGTGCCCATGGTGCTGTGCCATGTGTGGAGATGGAGTGAAGGCTCAGTGGACACGGGATTCAAAGTAATTGGGTGATTAATGGATACTCTCTGGGTGTATGAGGCGGGGAACTGATGTGGTGGGGATGGCGTGCTGGGGTCAGAAAGGAGGGCAGCCCATTTACTCACCTTCTCTCTGTTGCTGTGGGATCATGGGAGGTGGCTGTGGGAACGCTTGGCTAATCTGGCCATAAGCAGCAGGATAAGCAGCTACAGGAGAAAGAAAGGGAGAGAAGAAAGAGGCACAGACTTCAGTGCTGGGAAGAAACAAGCTTTCACTCCAAACCATCACACCAAGCTAGAAGTGGGCTTTGACCCTGCACTTTGGCTCTGTGAAGGGCCATCTCATGCAGCCTGAGATGTGACAGAAGCACCATGGTTGTGCCCCAGGAGGTGCTGCATGGCCCCAAGCACCCACCCTCCCTTCATCTTCCTCAGCAGTAGCACTAGGGACAGCCACGTAGTGTAAGTGGGGGTCCCTGCTGAGATCTCCCCCAGCAGAGATGCATAACCACCCCAGATAGTACCACAAGCACATTCATTCACGAGCTCAGCGCGTTGATGCCCGTGCTGATAGCCACCCGAAGAGCACATGCACACATTTTCCTGTGCCGTCTCTTGCACCCTGATTAATTCACATTCTTAGAAGAACTCTTCACTCTTCACACGTGTGTTTCCTCCCGTACTCTAACCTTCGTATGCCCACACACTCCATAGGCACAGTTGTACATACACTGTCAGATATACGTTTTCTTTGATGTCCATAGAGACTTCCTCTCTCACACACAAACACAGTGGAAACAGTGTGCAGCAATTAAACAATTTTCCCCACCTCATCTCCCCCACCAAGCAGACAAGGGGAGCCATTCAGTACCACAGATGGTAGATGATGTGCCTTGCTGCTAAAAATACAGAGTACGGGTCGCCTGCGAGCCCAGAGAGAGGGGGATAGGGGCCATGTGTGTGCAGAGGGGTTAATTAACAGCTCAAAGGGTTGAGCTGCTTCCCATCTATCAAACCTCACAAGCAATAAATGACAATAACTAAAACACCGGCAAATGAAGCCCTACATGGAGAATTAAATTAAGTTTCCAGATACAGCGCTGACATGAGATAATAGCCATTCCTCAGCGGGAGCCCATGATTGCTCCAGTTACCACAGGAAATAATGACTTTGGGGTGGCAGCTTCCTCACAATGTTGGCCATGGACACCTCGCGAGGGGAGGCTGAACATGGCGGGGTCGTGGTCTGCGCCAGGTCACTTTGGCTGGTGTCAGTCCATCAACTGCAAAGGAGCTGCTCAGCACACAGGGTGGCACAAGTGGAGGCTGACCCATTGGGAGCCATGGAGAAAGCTGCTGGGAAGCCAGGAGTATGTCTGCAGAAGTCCTAAGCAAGCCTCAAACTAACTTAGCTGGGCTATGGCCAGTGGAGGCATACCCTAAAATATGGGTACGTGCAGAGATGGCCATAACCTGCCAGGCACAGCAGCAGTGGCTCTGCAGGGCCTGGTTGCCCACCTCCCTTCCTCACCACAGCACTCAAGAGACCTGTTGAAGAAAGTGGCCTCCAAATCCATGGCCTGATTTTGCACTCGTGCATTGTGCTGTGCAAACTGGACCTGGTCCTGCCAATGAGGCTTCACCGAGGTAGGGGTCAGAGAGAGTCTTCCCCTGGGGAAAGGGAGGAGGTTGTCTCCTTAGGGAAAAAAGACCCTGGGCTTTATGTTTGTTTTCACAAGAAGTGCAAATTTAACCTGAGATTCTGTGGCCCCCAGCTCGCCCCTGTATCAGCAAACATCTCCCTTCCCCCAGCCCCTTCAGGCATGTTCAGAGATTAAAGGCTTTAGAGAAGAGGAAGGTTTATTGGGAGAAAGTGTTAATACTAACGACCTGCGTACTGCTGCACTCCAGCGTAGGCTTGCTGCAAGGGGTCTGCTGCAGTGGGGCTCTGTGCTGTGGAGACACAAGAGAAAGAAGGAATTAATGGGTTAAAACACGACAGGCACTCTCCTTTTCTCTTCTCTCATCAATATGTTGTGTGAGACAGACAGACCCAGGGGCTGAAGGTCCCAGAAGAGGAGCAGCTCGTGCCAGGACTGACACTGTGCTAGGTGCTGTGCAAACTCAGATCTCAGTGACAGCTACAGTCACATGAAACTTTCAATCAGAGCAGAAAACAACAGGGGCATAGTGGGAGGAAGGAGAGGAGAACAAAGCAGTGGCTCCTGCCATCCCCACATCCCTTCGAAGGACTGTGTTGCTGCCAGGCAGCCCCCTGTGAGAGAGGAGATGCTGCTTGGAGGGGAGGGGGACACCACTTGTCTGCTCCAGGGAGGATGCTGTGAATCTCTGCGTAAGGCATGCAGTCCCTTGCTGGCTTCAAAGTGCATTTTCTCTCTTTACAAGTGTGCAGTCCTCCCCCTTAAAACTGTTTATTTTTGTGAAACTTTGAAGTCTAGCTCAAATACAACAAAAGCTAGTTAAGACTTTTTTTTTTTTTTTCTTTTTCCCCTTTGGTTGATAGGGAGAGAAAAAGAGAGAGAGAAAGAGAAACGTGTTGGATAAGCTCTTTCTTTATCTGCAGCAATAAAATATTTAAAGCAAAGCTTGGCTGAACCTCCAGTCCAAATGTCACCTTGGCCCTAATATTTCACTTCTTGTTATGAGTTTAATTTGTATTTATTGGTGCTTCACAGTTCTACATCTAAGCAGTCCCTCCGGCTTCTTACTTGTAGAATGATCCCTTAGGGAGCTACCACTTTCCCCTCCATCCCACTTTCTTCCTTCCTACAAGCACAGTGGCGTAGTTGGAGGTAATGGCTTGGAAGATGCAAAAGTGTGGGCCTCTTAGAAGGAAATCTGGTGCCATTGACCTATCCATGAAGAAACACTGACTCCATGCCAAAGTGTGGGGGAGGTTGGCAAACGTGAGTGTTACAGACCCAAGGAACATGGATAAAGTCTTTTCTTACAGATGCAAATGCTAGCTTGAGCCCTAACTTTGAAGATCACCATTAATCATGAGGGAAGCTTGCAAGGTCTTGCACTTTTCTCCCAAAATATAGGTAGGAATGGTAAGAAGACAAAACTTTGAGGGGAAAATCCCAATTAGCTGGCTAAGGCTTGGAGGATTCTGTTCATTGCGGGCATTACTGGATGACAGGGACTTTGAGGCTGGGGTAGTCACAGGAAGAAGTATGTGGGATTTCAGTCTTAGGTTGGAATTTGTTTGGCTGATTTTCTAGCTGACTTTTGGCAGGTCCCTCAATATGTGTGTATGTGAAATGGGGAAGCACTGCCACTGTAAGGATTTTCACCCCTGGAAAAGGGATGTGAGGACACCACATTAAAACCTGTGGGAGATCAGTAGTAGGCATAGTAGTGATGCAAAGCTATATTTTTAAAAAGCAGATGCTCCAGAAATTGGAGGAAAAGATTAGAAAATATAAAAACTGTTTCCACTTATTCCTGCTGTCTTGAAGAAGAAAGGAAGAAAGTGACTAAATTCTATTTGTTTTAACCTCTGCTCAAAACTGTTTTCCTCAAAAAAGGAAAGTTGAGCATATTGTTCCAGGTGAAACCTGAACAGCTGTGAAAGGTTGAGTGATACACAAGTTCCTGCACCACTTTGGGAGAATGGATCATACTAACATGGACCCCTCAAAAATGACCAAGTCTTGTCAGGTAGAAGTTATCTCCTGAGGAAGGTGAGGGGACATGTGGTAAAGGGAGCAAATCTTTATAAGATAGCTATGGTTTTGCAGTCTGCATTAAAGGAGATGATCTGCTGTGTCTGCCCCAAAAGCAACTGCCCTTCCTTGGCTTCACTGATCTGTTTATAGAGCTAGAAAAAGAAATTGTCTTTGCTGTTTAGGAGATACACTGACAGCGTTTCCTTCCTCTCCAGCTGAGGCTGGACTCAGGCATGTTCGTTCTCTCTCTAGCATGCTGACAATTAGCACTGACTGTCTCATCATTGATACGGGAGAAGTCACTGAGCAGTAGCTGAATGACTGTGGTCCTTTCCTTTATCCTGGCTTTAGCTTGGCCCACATGGGAACTGCCCACTCTCCCAGCTATAGCTGAGTCTATGTCCTCAATAGGACTACCTGGCTCACTGCAGAGCTGCTCTCCTTACCCCATCTGTGGATATCTCACCTTCATTTGAAGCCATACTCTCTCCAGGAAAGACACACTGAAAATCATGGTCCACCTTTAAGATTAAATATTAAAACTGAACAAATTCTTTATTTAAAGGGTTTGGGGCAACAGTCCTTTAAATGCAGACTTGTTCCTTCCCAATCGTTTCCTGAGTCTAAACGGCTTGTCAGGATGGGTAGGACCTAATTGGGTGCTTCTTTCTCAGGAGGGTGCCTTGATCACACAGGGAATTTCCTCCTGACACACAGCACATGCAAGCTAGTGGCAAGATTCTCCCTTAGTTTCAGTCAGCTTTGCTGCAGGCTGGGAATCACTAACTTATGGGTAAAGAAGATACAAGGTGACTGGTCTAACACCTGGGACCCTAACACTGACCCAGCCATCCCTGAATGCTCTTGAAAAGGAGGAAGTCGAAAGCATGCTGTGGCTGTAGGACTAGACAGCACTGGGGAGGCAGCAACCCCTGGCTTGGGGCTCTGTGTTTACTTGTAGACTCATACCCTACCTTGGCTGTTTGGGAAAAGCAGTTGTGGTGAGTCACCGCCTGCAGGAAATTTAACTTGGCAGCTCTTAAAAGCAAAAGTGATGACCTTTGCTCACTGAAGAACTTGTCTTCCTTAGCTCGAAGAGTGTGTTTATTCAGCAAATGAAGATGCGACTTCAGTACGGTGGATGTGTCCATGCTGGCCAACACACAGCCTATGAAGATGCAGGAACACAGACTCCAGGGCCGGCTGGGTACCCCGGCACGAAGCCAAGGTAGCTTGGGCAGCCATGAGCATATCTTCATGCTGCTGCTCACTCTGCCAGATGAATTAAACCTAGTGAAGGGCATAACTGCCTGCGCTCCCAGCTGTAGTGTGGATGAAGCCAACGGCTGGTATCGATCCAGAAATCTCAAGACACAGATTAGACATTTGAGGAGGTTGTGGCCATGTGGTGTTCAGCAAAGTGACAGCCCTCCTACTTACTAATGACCTGTGAAAAGTTCAGCAAGGGCTCAGATATACAATCCAGAGCCAATCTGCCCCAGGGGTTACGTGTGACTGTAGGCTGGAGCACACAACGTGCTAAAATTCAAAGTGATAGGAAGACATGAATTATTTCTGTGTTTCAGCACAAGGAGACCATGAGGAAAGGTTGCTTTATTTTTCCATAAGATATACATAACTTAATAAGGTTTGCACCTCTGTGGCCTTCACACAGATCATGCTACACTAAGGTAGGAGAGTTACTCTGTCTCAGCCACCCTTTCTCCCCAACCAGATGGCCAGTCTTCCCTGTGACTGCAAATATTAGTTGAGCATGGGCATGTGGGGCTAGGAAGAGACCTCAGCTCCTCTGCATACTATCTGTGCCAAGGTGTAAGCCCCCTGTGGCCCAGAAGCTAAATAACTGAGTAAGGGCTGGTAAGAGCTATAGGGATATAGAAGACACTAGATGAGGGATATGAATATCATAAAGCACCTTAAAGGGCTTTTGGACCAGAATTATTATGCCTCTAAGTTGTAACATCATCAAAAGACCTTGGATGTGCTGGTAACTATCTGTGCAAATCTGCCCTCAGATAACATTCGAAATAGCTTTCCTTGTGGTAAGACTCATGGAGATCTTACATCCAACATACGGACATTTAAGAGATTAAATGTGATGTAATGTACACACTGAGGACCAGCTGATGAAGTGAAAGAAGCAGAGAGGCTCCTGAGAGGCCAGAGGACAACTATCAATCATGTCAGCCCTGCTGAAGTCCATGTAGCCTTGCTGCTTTACAGAAGCTGAGGACCTGGCCTTGCCAGGGCAAACAAATGCTAATAGTAACTTCATTTGGCATCTCAGGGTGAGAACCTTTTCCCTGGACATGGTGTCTGTATTAGTTTGATCATTTCCATATCTCCATGGGAAAAATCCAGCTCAGATACAATTGTCTCTTTGTGAGACAATCCTGGCCAAGATGCCACAAGGTGACCATGGCAGATAACCTTCCATAAACCTGGAGACATAAAACAAGCCAATGACCTACTATATAGCCATAAATATAAATTTAACGAAGGCAGCACTTATTCATTAGGGAGAAGTCAAGAAATGACTCCCAAGTCCTTCAAAGAAAGTAGATCCGTTAATGTCACTTTCTGAATCCTGTGCCTGATGCCAAAAACCAAGGATGATTTCCCAAGTCAGCATGAAATACCAGTGCTTTAAAATTAACACCAGGAACCTTTCTTACTACTGATATATCTCTAGATTGAAATCCAACTTTTTAAAGGGGCATTCAGCTAGTGTTAGGACTGATGTTTAGCTTTTGTCAGGGAATGAAAGGATGGAGGTGGCAGAATGAAGCACATTGTTAAAAATAAGTAAAATCAGTTTAATTGATGGTCTATAAAGAATCCTTACTGAGATGCCACTAACCTGGCTACAGTGTCCGGCCAAGATGAGCTGTTATATGGGTGTGCCTGGTGAAAATAGTTGTAGGGGACACAGGGCTGGAGTCTGGGGTGTAAATCAGGAGGAGCCACGTGGAAGCCAGTGGGGTGTTAAGGAAAAAGGATGACAATTATTGCCTAAGCCATCAAGAGGGGTATGGGACAGTGTCCTTGTCCCAGCTCGGCATAAGAGAAAACCAAGGAAATCTGCTTTCTGCAATCAGAGAGGACCAGAGTTTCTGAGAGACAAAAGCAAGATCTGGCACATTTTGAGCTCCTAAGACATCCTGAGATTTAACTTTGGTGGAAGGAGTCAGCAAACCTTACACCTGTATGATGTCTTCTTCACCCCTGCTTCTGATTGCC